GGGAGCTCGACGTGGTGCAGCAGGCGGTGGCAGAGGTGGGACACGGGTCAGGGGACACGGGGGGGACATGGGGACACGGTGGGGAGGGGGAATAAGGGCTGGGGACAGAGGGGACACGGTGGGGACACGGTGGGGACAGTGGGGACAGCGGGGACACGAGGGGGACAGGGGACAAGGGCTGGGGACGGAGGGGACACGGGGGGGACATGGTGGGGGCAAAGGGGACAGGGTGGGGACAGAGGGGAGGACACGGGGGGACAGTGGGGACAGGGTGGAGGACAAGGGGGACAGGGGTGGGGGACAGGGTGGGCACCAGGGTGGCACCAGGGTGGCACCGGGGTGCTGGGGGGTGGTGGTGAGGGCACAGGGGGTGGCAGCAGGGTGGCGGTGGCAGTGAGGGGACAGGGGTGGCACTGAGGGGCCAAGGGTGGCACTGAGGGCACAGGGGTGGCAGTGAGGGGACAGGGGTGGCACTGAGGGGACAGGGGGTGGCAATGAGGGGCTGGGGGTGGCACTGAGGGCACAGGGGTGGCAATGAGGGCACAGGGGTGGCAGCAGGGTGGCAGTGGCACTGAGGGGACGGTCCCCTGTGCGCAGCTGAACGACCCCAGCCAGCCCAACGACGAGGGCATCACGGCCCTGCACAATGCCATCTGCGGGGCCAACTACGCCATCGTGGACTTCCTGATCGCCAGCGGGGCCGACGTCAACTCCCCCGACAGCCACGGATGGTGGGACAGCAGGGGACACCACGGGGACACAACAGCCACAGGGGGTGGGACAGCAGGGGACACCACGGGGACACAACAGCCACGGGGGGTGGGACAGCAGGGGACACCACGGGGACACCACAGCCACGGGGGGTGGGACAGCAGGGGACATCATGGGGACATCATGGGGACAGGGGACACAACAGCCACGGGGGGTGGGACAGCAGGGGACACCATGGGGACACCACGGGGACACAACAGCCACGGATGGTGGGACAGCAGGGGACACCACGGGGACACCACGGGGACAGGGGACACAACAGCCACGGGGGGTGGGACCCCTGAGGGGGGGTCTGGGGGTGCCTCCCACGGTTCCCATCCCCCCCCCCAAGTGAGTGGTGACCCCAATAACCCCAATTTCCCCCCCCAGGACCCCCCTGCACTGCGCGGCCTCGTGCAACGACACGGGCGTGTGCGTGGCCCTGGTGCGCCACGGGGCCGCCATCTTCGCCAGCACCGGCTCCGACGGCTCCCTGGCCGTGGAGAAATGTGACCCGTACCGGGAGGGGTACGGGGAGTG